GAAACGTCGCAGAATCGATCTATTGATATATGTGATCTCTTTGGCTGCCGTCAGTGGCTGTTGGGTGGATAAAGAAAAAATATGAGATGACGGTTTATAAGAGGGTCTACATGGGGTGATGACTTTAACGGTTATCCGCTAAAGTTTTGAATGGGAGGTCCGTATTGGGAGAAACTGTGCCCGAGGTCTTGAGTACCGCCCGAGGCCGTAGGCCGAGGGCGGTACTCATACCGAGGGTACAGTTTCTCCTAATATGGACCGACCTAGGCCGGTAAATAACATTTTCATTTTTTTCCAACTGAAATGCAAAAGTTTCAGGAAACTTTTCCTTCATTCTCCAACTTATGTGTGTTGAAGTAGGACGCGTTCGTGTTGATGAAGCGCGTACTCAGACCGAGGGTACAGTTGCTCCTAATATGGACCGACCTAAGCCGGTAAATAACATTTTCTTTTTTTTCCAACTGAGAGGCAAAAGTCTCAGGAAACTTTTCCTTCACTCTCCAACCTATGTGTGTTGAAGTAGGACGCATTCGTGTTGATGAAGCGCGCGATCGATTGCAATCCCAAACAAGGCATTACAACATGATTTTTAGCTCCGTAATTTATAATATTATGGCACTTACTACTCTCTTTTAGAATAAAGAAAGGTTTTTGTGTCTTGCGAGACAATTCATAATCTGAGTGTCAAACAAGGATAAAAGAATTGACGAGCTTGATATTAAACGCACCAGGAAAAAATAGAGCAAGGATTTTCTTCGGCTGAACAATTCAAAAACTGCTCCAAGATTAGTTCAATCCAGTGGGATGAAAACTGCACAAAGGCTTTGTAAAAATAGCTAATTATAACAAATATCAATTTCAAGGTTTTCAATTGAATTCGAAGAAGGGGATGTGAGTAACAAGTTATAAACAAAGAAACGAGAACGGCGCTAACCGACTGCTGGAAAAGTCGGTGATTCGTGTTATTTATTTAAGATTGAAAGTGAAATGCAATCATTGACAAAAACCTTTTCTGATAAGTAGAAAACTAGCGCGGCAAAATTCGATGCAAAACGGCAGAATCTAGATTCATACAGCAAAAATGGAAAACAAAACTACAAACAGAGCAAAAATGTCCAATAAACGGTGCATAAAAGCAAGATTGCAGTACTTACAGCGCGGTTATAAAGCTAGTGAAGCGACATCACGAGCCACCTGTTTTGATTTACTTTAGCGGTCTTCTTGGCCGACTTGCTTGATTCTCCCTTCAGAATTTTTGTGTGAATAATAAAATTCACTTTCCCTATCTAATGCTAATAATAGCGCAAGTTTTAAGAGAAAAATGGTTTGAAAATGACGGTTTTTGCTCACTCTCAAACAACACACAAACCTGTGAATGAGGCTGCCAACGATTCCGCCCGAGCTAGCGGGCAACATCGTAAAATACCGCCTGTTGTCGGAACCAATCAGATTGCAGGATTTGGAGGATTCTGCCCGCTCTCAAGCTTGGAAAAGAAAAATAATTTTAAAAAAACCCTGTATTTTTTGTATCTTTAAAGCAAAATGAGGGTGTTAGGATCATCTCGGGATGAAATAAGTTATTCCCTTGAAAAATTTTAATATTTGATAGAACATTTTTTTTAAAGTGTTCAATTTCTAATACTATTTTACGCACAGAAATGTTAGCCACCAGATTTTCACTACGGAAAAAATTAGTTCCGGCAAATATAAGTTTTTACGGGAGTACAGTAGAACCTCAATAACTCGAACTCGGGGCAAATTTCCCGCTAACTTGAACTGTTTTTCGTTTCTCCTCAGAGCTTGAGTTACTGGGGTTCTACTGTATTATATTGCGATCAGCAAGACAAAACTTCCACAAAAATTTCATGCCACACGGTATCTTAGTATACAATTCATTACGTTAAGAGTGCTTAATTACTGTTCAGCTCGAGCTCACAATCTGAGCAGAGCAACAGGGGTAATTCTAGATCTAGCAGCTGCTGGGTCGATAAAGAATAATTTTCTGTTTTGCCGCTGTTTTTGGCGAGGCGTTAGGTCAAATGCCCCAAGGCCGAAATTCCTGGCTTTCTTGTTAAGGCAAAGAAAGTCAATAGTGTTTTTCAGTGAATGTTGAAAGTGTCCGATGCCCCTTTTGGACTTTGAGTCTTGCCTTGTATCTTTCGATTGGCCTTTCCTCACCCGTTCGATAAATACTAAAAACAGCTTTCAATAGCGACCTGTTATGCAGGCTAACTCACATGAACATGCGCCCAGAATCCTCTTCCCGTTCCCTTTCGAACGCCCGCCACGTAGGGTATTGGCGGTCCTGAAAAGGTGCTTGGCCTAAGGTGCCCACTTTTTTGACTGATTGACAAAGTAGCCCCCAAATAAGAAAACGTTGCCAGAATTCTTTCATTTTTGGAAGTAAGGGATATATTCGTTTGCAGAAACTTAAATATAAAAGATGAATACAGGCATAATTTTTTAAAATTCAGTTCACAGTGCGGTTTGCCGCCCGTTACTTGATTGACGACTTTTAACACCGGAAACTACGTTCGGATTACTAGCCGAAAAAATAGGCCGAATGACCTTTTGAAAACAAATCTCAGAAATCTCACAGGCGTTCCCTCCTCTCTCCCTCTTTTTTTCTCACTCTCGTCCTTCGCGCCGCACTCCACTATCCGAACGCCTGGAACAGGCTAGGATCGTCCTGGCTGACAGGTAAGAAGATCCTAGCACCATCATATTGTAAGCTGCCTTCGCTAGGAAGATCCTAGTACTAGGGACAAACCTAACCTGAGATCAGGCTCTATTTTCGTTTCGCTTTGAAAATTACATCAACGAGAAACGAAAAGAGAGCCTGATACAAGCCTTCTACAAAACGTCTGCCGTCCACTTTTTTGATTGATTGACATTTGCCGAATCAGCCAATCAAAATTACTTCCGTTGCTTGTTTTTCTAGTATGCAAATTTTTCACGCTTGGAAAAAATGCAGACTGGCTGACTTAAAAAGTAGCTTTTATCTGTTAATTTTTTCAGATTAAGGGAGATATCGAAGGTTATTTCTGTTGGCGTAGAAGGTAAAAATTTTTCGAAAAGACGGCGACAGGATGTTCTACTAGTTTTATTTATTTTGGCTAGGCGCGCTTGAATTTAAAATACTGAAATTCCTATTTTTCTGTTGCCTTTATATTTTCCTCAGTAATTTTCCCCGATTTTCAGTACATAAATCTTTAAAAACAAAAGCAAACAGCCAACGCGCGAGGACACCAGTTTTCCTGGTTTATATTTTACAAAAAGCGAAGGCAAACAACCAGTCTGTTACCTTAAGCCACCAGCTTTTATAATAATGCCTACAAAAATTCCTTGAACAGCGATCCGATATTTTTCGTGCGGGGCGTGCGGGAAAATAATTCTCATAGGGCGCTTCAAGAAGCCCTCAAGCTCATCTGACAGGTAGCTTGGAAGTGAGTTGTGAAAAACGGGAGCAGCATTATCTACGCCCAGACGGATGCATGTCGAGTTAAAGGTTTTAGTTCCTTAGAGGTTTTAGTTCCTCTTTACCGAGACCTTGCGGGAAATTTCTGACACGTGACATGCAGCTCATTTCAAATCTTTGCAAATGTTCAGGCTAAGTAGCTGAAACTGAACACCACCTCGATTTCCTTCCCGTTGATGATAACAGGAGCGAACTCATCATCGATCTTAGCAAAGGAGATTCGCGTCTCTTTACATTTGCTATCGTTCAACTGAAACTTGTTCGCGTCCCACCTAGCGACCAATTTGTTGACAAAGACTTGAATCGTGCTCGTTCAGTTGTTAACCACAGGCTCAACAATAGCTGTATCGTCCACGTACTTCCATTTTTCTGTACCACTGGTGTTAATGTCATCGATCATTAAATTGAACAACCAAGTTCCATGCCCTCTCCCTTGTGGGACCCCTGCCGCGATATCTCCCCATTCAGACTTACAAGCCGTTGACTCTTTGTTTGCGATCTTCCAGAAAATCGATAAACCAGGACAAAATGCCATGTGGGATATCTAAGGCAATCAATTTTCCAGCAAGAATTGTGTGATCTAGGTCGAAGGTCTTCCTGTATTCCAACAAACAACTCGGCTAATAGTGGCGCCAGTTTGATCAGTGTGTTAAGTCCAGGAGTTAATCGTGCTGAGTAAGGCAAGCGTAGTAGAGGACTTGGGGATGAACCCAAAATGGCTATCACCGATCTTCTTTAACACAGCTAGTCGTACATTCTCTGTCCAATCATAGGCAATACCAGGTGCTGGTATACCGGAATGGGGTATTGAAAGCAATGCTCACAGGCTCCACAACCCCGTCTATCCCTAGCGGTTTTAGTGCAACTTTTTTCGATCCGCTTTCCCCACTATCTTGGAGCCTGGAATATACTACGTAATAGTATGTAGCAAAGCAAACACAAAGTCTGTTATAAATATCAATAAAAGATCATAGAATGATCAATATAGTCGTTCATCATGAAAGTTCTCACTCGTGATCTACATATTAAACTAAAATATTCGATGAATACCACAGTTTGCTTCTTATGGATCGAGCGACAAAAACAATTAGAACTTTCTTGTGTAAAACGGTCGTATTATTATTGCAACATGGTTTTTAATTCCTAGTCGAGATTATGGGCCCGTGAAGAAAACATCATGTTTACGAGCCCTTTTTATGTTCGGTTTGATGGAAAGACACTAGTCTTGTTTTTTCTTTCCCCTTATTAAGTGAATGTAAAAGGTTTCTACCCCAATAAACTTGAAGTACATAACCTGAACAAGATTTTAACTGAAAGAGTTTGACGATTGACATGCTTTCTTGACCCAGGAAAGAAGTGTCCAAAACGTTTTGGCCAGAATTGAAGTAAACTTGAAGGGCGGAACAAAACTGTACATCTGTTGAGTACCACTCCACTAAAGAAACACTCCATTGACTGTAATATAGTACAAAAAACGTGTGCCAAATTTTCTAAGCATTCCCTTCTTTATTTCATAGCATTGTCACGCAAATGAGTCATTCGTGGCTCCTTGGTCAGCGACTGTGGTGGCTTCTTTGGAGGAATAGCAAACTTCGTAGCATAACAGCTGGAATTTGTCTTCTTCATCAGAGTGACCTTGAATTATGTTATCTAAGCGCTGAAAAAGGAACTTTTTCTGTTTTTGTAGCTTCTGAAACTGACATTTGATAACGTCTTCTGAGAAGCGTACTTTGCGATGCTGTTGACTGTGTGACGACCTTAGTTCTGTCTTTATTTTGTGTTCTTCGCTACTTGTAAACTTTTTCAAAATATAATCGCTGATCTTATCAAACAAGGATTTTCTTCTTGTGTTGGCATCAAGCTTCTTCTCGGTTGAATTTTCCACGCTTTCTTCTCTTGATGCTATAATTGCTTTGCTTATTGCATCAAAATTGACCACCCTCTTTTTGTTGGGATTTTCGCCACAATTCCTAATCTCTGTTTTCGTCATCTTCACTATTTCTTCATTTCCTTTCGTTTGTTTTATACTTTCACTTATAGCGTCAAATATGCGTTTATTCTCTCCTCCCTTTTGACTCCAATTTTCATCCAGAAGGTCGTAGAGCTCATTTTCACTCGCGCAGGTCTTTGCATTCATAAGAGCATCGTTCATAATGGCAATAAAAAAATTCATGGCCAATATCGTCAGGGTAAAAAGAAGTAAGACGGCAAAAATTCTTCCAAAAGTGTCGTTGGCATCTGCCAGTTCATTGATGGGTCTCGCTTTCACGCGCCCCAGAGTCAGTTCGAGTTGGAAATATATAGCTCTGAGTATCGAAGAGTAATGCCTCGAACCCGTCCCGAAGATCAAAACCCCGAAATGCAGAAAGGCAATAAAGCAGATCAACATAACAACGGTAAATGATGACAACAGTCGCGTAGAGGTCTTCAGTGTTTTCGAAAACACGACAACGTGTTGATTGAAGCGAATAAGTCTCAGAAGTTTGGCGGTGACAATAAATGTTAAAATCCCAAGAGCAGCGTTCTCTATTTCAAGGCAAATGATGACTTCTTGAAAACTGAGGTTTGCGTAAATGTTTTTCTGAAGCTTCTGAATCGTAGAGGTCGCCTTTTTGGATCTCACGATGTACATTGCCACAGCCAACAAGGAAAACAACACTTGGAATATTTCTACCCAGCCCCATAAAGATTTAAAATATCGAGAACGTTGTCTGTACAGCCTGTAGCACTCTCTTCCAAGGTAAAACGCGACAAATATGATAAAGAACAGAATACAGATGAGGTAAAATTGTTGCGAACCAGCCTCTGTTGAGTCTAATGAAATAACCTCAGTTCTCGTGAACGGGGCGCTGTATCCGGAAGCCTCTACCTCAAAAAAATACGTCGTGATGCAAAGTAAACTAACAGATGGATTGAAAGAGGAAAATTCCAATATAATGGCCCTGGTTCGCCTGTCGAGCCAGTCATTGTTTTGTAGTGTTTCTATAACGGTAAGGCCTGTCGAATGTCCATAACCTAAGTCGGCCACGAAACCTCCACCAGGATAAAACGAGAACTGTCCCCACTTAGGCACCGTGTCCGTATCCTCGGCACCTTGGTATCTCCAAGGCTTCGGGCAAAGTCGGAAAAGTTCGTCATTATTCGTGGAGTTGTCGACAGGCTTCCACCCTGGTTCGTTGAAGGATGTCTTATCTTCGTTTAAGCGTGAGTAACCGCCGTAGCAAACAGGAAACATATGCTTCATGTAATCCAAAACTTCACAAGTCTCTGCAAATGTTTAAAAAAAGAACCTATTTATAAAGATCTAAGAATTGATGCAAATTTTGATAAGGGTTTGGAGTAAGGAAGTGGATATAGTTTTCCAGATCCTACATACCTTTTTCTTAATAATGTAAGCATAGTTAATTGAGTGGAATGGTTATGAAACCCGTCAGACTCCTTTGTTATATGTTTTTGTGGACCTGAAAGTGCACAACGTTCAAAAGAATTCCTATCATTTTGATTGTATTGAACAATAAAAACGTTGCATTAATTTATTCCGTAACAATTTGCCAACAGAAAACAAAGGATTGTACACTTTCAGGGTGCTTCCAACAGAAACTGCAGCACTGTTGTTTTTATCATTGATGTTTGCCGCTTTTCATAACCAGTCTCCTCTAATAACTATGATGTAAGCAATCTCTCTTCGTTTAGATTCCTTCTTTTTGCTAGCAGAAGGCTATTATTTTTCTTTTATTAATATTTTGTGTTTCGGATCAGATTCACATTTAACAATGAAAGCTCAAGAATATAAAATGATGTCGGAAGGTACCGTATTTCCTCGAATAATAACCGTCCCTCGATTAATTGCCTCTCTCAAATAATCGCCCTTTTTTGAAGGAAATATTTGAAATAATCGCGCGCCTCCCTCTGATAATCTCCGATCCCTTATTCGCCCCTCCTGCTATATTCTCTTCCTTTTATCCCCTCCCCTCCTTATGTTGAAGGGCAATGTGATTCAGCAAAACTGATCAGTGACGATTCAAACTCGGAAAATTAATCAAGAAACTAAATTTGGAACACTTAAAAATCCATGTTCAGTTTATCTCTTGATTATTTTTTGATTTAATAGAAAAATAATAAATAAAATATTCTAATATTCAATCCACGACTTCCAGTGAGCAACATTTGAAATAATCGCCTTCCCTCGAATAATCGCCCCCTTTTCAGCTATTACTCGAGGAAATACGTATCAGGAAAAATGGCCTACGTCGCCTTTTTGCTCCTTCTGCGGGAACATCCATTGTTTACCATGCCCGGAGAAAATGGCCATTAAAAATCGTACTTTATGAGATTGTTTTGAAAAGGAATGACAGGCCGCGAAATTTTCTTTTCTCACTTGAGTTTTAACGCAATTTCTAATTTAAAACTCACCAGGTTGAACTCTAAGTTGCCTTCCTCTAGCCATTCCTACCAGGACTGAACGTTTATTTCCGATGTACACGGTTTGATTCTCGGGACGTCCGTTGTACCATCTACCAGCAAATACACCGGGTAAAAAAACATTTTTAATCCAGCTCCAGTACTGTTTCTTGTTAATGACCTGGTATCCCAAAAGCAAAAAAGCAAAAACAATGAACAAAACTAGTACAAGAACCACGACAAATAAGTAATTTTTTGAAAGTTCTATCCGGTAAGAAAGAAAAACGACAATGCAATTATTATTATTTTTTTATGATTTTTTTTTCAGGCTTTCGTTTCGCAACTGCATAAGTTGCGTTTTCAGTTTTCCACTGTGATGATCTTCTCTTCATTCAGTAACTATCAAGCGCGTAGTTCTGAAATCATTATCCTTTTATATTAACCTAGCTCAAAAATTGTGAGAAGGTAGTAATCCCCCTGCCGGCCAAACTAAAGGATAGTAATGGAAAAAGCCGCTGTTCATTGTGTACACGAAGACACAGTTTTCCCAGCAAGCAATCATAGAGGAAAAGAGAAAAGAGTTCAGCAATAATGTTAGAGAAATTTCCCTTACCGCTTCAAATTTTGGCAGTCCTTCTGTGACGGATTTTGTCATCATGTATCGATGTTCATTTCTGCTACCATAACAAACCACCATCAACAAGAAAACAAAAATAAGGTAGATGAAAAGCTCCACAAAGAACCGAGATATATTTTGTTTTTTCGCCTGACGCCTTCTCATCTCCTCTACGTCTTTGAGCTTCATCTTCCATAAATGTCCTTTAGTTGAAGTTCGAGTTTTAGCCTCTTTTACGTATTCGCTACCATCTCTCTTTCTCTTTTTTCTGATAATGATGGCTGACAGTACTATTGCGGTAAAGAACACTTTGAACGGCTCAGTAATTGCCATATCCTGGGTGAAAGAGATAAACATGGAAGACAGCCATTGCTCACTGATTTCCTTTCCCCAGAGCAAGCTGTAGAAGATGGTAAACGTCGCCGAAACAGAACATGAACAAACGAATAAAAACCAGGCAAAGTAAATGAGACAATTTGCTTTCCAGCAAACACGGGTTTGACTGGCGGTGTTTTCGGTCCCTTTTTGAAATAGGAATGCAATCAAAATGTTTATAGGGGCAACAATGAGCGCGCTTTCGATACCAATAACTACTTGTCTCCAAGTGAATTTCAAAGGTCCGATCTGAATCACATTCTCAGATTTTCCGTCCAGTTCGTAAAACATGGCGTTTGCAAGCATAGCTGTCAATAGCAGTGAAAGACAGCATGACGCCCGTTGTACCCGAGTGAACCGATTTCTCCTTGGCTTCGCTATAACTGAGACCCATATGTGTTTCTCTGTGAGTCCTTTCCACCATCGCTTTAAAACCTCGCTGTTGAAATCTATTCTATTTTGTTCTGTCTCCAACATCCGTTCAATCCTACCGTCTCCTCTCTCAAGAGCTAGCCACTGAGTATTCGTGAATGTCCAAGAGCAAAGCGTTTGTTTGTCAAGAACAATGATTTCCTCTAGAAACCACGAAGGACTATTTCCAGAGTTATCATGCCCAAACCTCACCCCTTCAATGGAACCGAGCGGTTTTTCAACTTTAAGAACAAAAACGTCCGTATTTCCTCTAGAGAAAAGTGTGCCCGTCGGTGAATCTTCCATGTTGTTGAGCGGAACCTTCCCGGTGCTTTCTTCAGAGCCGTATATCTCTATAGCAACTTTAGCTGTTGTTCCAGAGTTCCTCCAGACTCCTGTTATTATTGTTATTTCATATTCGTGCAAACTGTTTGATCCTGTTGGCAGCTCAACTGGAGAGCCATTCTGGAACAAAAAAGAAAAGGAAAGTGTTACGTGTTTTTGTTCCCTTTATTGTTAAGTTTCGTTCCGTGTGAAGAGTTTTCACTCTGACTCGTGATCAGCATCTATTAAAATTTTTTGGAACAAAAGAAAATGTTTATTGACACAATCCAACAGGATTGATTTGGAACACCAACATGGCCACCGTTACATTGTTCTGAAACACTGATGTGGCCACCATGACGTTATAAGAGAGCGCTGTATAATTTGTTTTTTGTTTTTCTGTTGGTTTGTTTTCATTATGCATGGCTGCAAGGCCAGAAACAAAAAATTGGTTTCCGTTAAAAGCATCCTCAGAGATCTGAATGGGTACCTGCTACTGATTAGATTCCGTTGTGCCAAATAAGGCACCGAAGCCTAAATCGAAGGCTCCGCACTAACACCTACCATCACCCCCGAAACTAAAAAAATTAACTCTTCTGCGCCTCTACGATGCCCTTGTACGCATAATGTTACATTATAGATGATTATAGAGCATGGAGTTTCGATAATCGCACAGTCATACATTATTATAAAAGTAAGACTTCACTAAAAGAATTAAGAGAACTGGAGAACCTAGTTTTGTATAATACTGTACTTCCAGTTCATTTTATAGGGTTCAATCGTCTTCATGGTGATAAAAAAAAAAAAACCTCTCTGTTTGATTTGATGAGCTCTAGGAGAACGAGTTCTCTATTCTCTAATTGAGCTATCCGATGAGTCTTGCCTTTGGTTTAATATTTTTCATTGCTCGGTCTGGTTTACACTAAGATTCAGCTTCACACTGCTGCAGTGTTTTTCCAAGTGGTGGTTGCATTATTTAAGTTACCTAATAAGTACTTACATTTCTGGTGTCTTGCTGATCCGCTTTTCTGACGAAAACAATCACAATAACGTAGCACAGGAATACCACTGCCACGGTTACAATAACCGCGACATTTCCTGTATCTGCAAGTCTCTTGAACTCTACCAGCACTTGATCAAAGTCGATGGGATTGGGTTTTACAAAGAAACTACCTCCAAAGGAGGTCAGGTGATTACATGAACAGTTCAGGAATCCATTTAACGTTGCTGACAAAACCTATGGAATAAAGAATGAAAAAATTTAAAACCAAGTTTCCATGTTAGGTCAATTATAGACCAATTTCGAAATAACTTAAAATTCATACCTGGCTCGGAGGCTTGGGGAATCTGGCCAACAAACAAAATTAATCTATGAATCTCAAGGCGATTGTTTCTCTTGAATTATCTTCTCAAGCCTCGAGAAAGTTATGAATTTTTTTAATATATCAAAATTGATTCATTAATGAACTTATATTGGGTTGTGCAATTTAAGGGCATGTTATAATTTTCCAGCAGATCAAAATAAATATCAAAATAACTACATTATACTATACAACTGCACAAGATCACAAAACATACATAGGAAGTCAAAAGATCTCATGAATGAACGTGAAGACGGCAAAAACATGCATGTATTACTTACTGCTTATTGCGAATCTTAACAATTTACACTTAGCAACCAACCCGAGTTCCAACACCAATTTAAGAAATAGCTCACTCATCAGTTATTACTTACTTGACAGCCTTCTGTCGTCCACATTTGCAGCTTTTCTGACCAGAACACACAGCTCCCCAAGGCCACCCTCATAGTATAGTTCCTTGAGATGGCTGGGTCATACACGGGTACTACAGATACATTTTTGCTCAGAGGGGGAGTGGAAGGAGGATCTTTCACTTGCAGACATGATCTCTTTTGACGTCTATTTCCGAAACATGATCGCTTTTGTCTCTTTAGGGAGGTCACACTGGTGTTATAACTTTGAATTCCTAGAAAGTACCTTCCAGGTTGCCTAGCAACTGTTTCTATAGGAACGGCTGTAAATCTGTTGGAAGAACACTTTACTCTTCCAAAGCTTTTTTCCTGCCCATTCCACCAAATGCAAGTTTCCTGTTTGGAGATAGTGGCATTGAGATCATATACTTGTGTTGTTGGCCGTTGACTATGTCGCATGTAAACAAAAAGGGTCACTCTTTCATCTGTTGGAGTGATCTCCACCATTATCAACGTGTTTTCGTACTTGACATCTATCAAGTGAAATCGTAAGTTATCATTCTGGGTGAAGTACTGGGGGATTTGTAAAGAAATCTGTTGAGGTTTTAGAGGTGTAACAATCAGGACGTGGTTTGGGAGACCTGATACTTTGATCAGTTTACGCTCGTCGTCTTTCAAGTCCAGTGCTAAGATATCAGAGTCCACTCGCTCTCTTGTGACATCCCATGTGTAAGGATTGAATGGAATTGAGAGCATCTGAAAAAGTAAAACAAGCAAACAAAAACGACATCAACATGGCGCATGAGACACGTCACTGGCATACCCTTGGCTTAGATAATTATGTTTTCAGCAAATTTCATTACACTCCATTGCACATCACGATACTCTGAATCTTAGCGACATCTGAACGAAATACGTTTTCATATTGTTGAATAATCCACTCGGCTTCGTCTCCGGATTATGCAACAATATCAACTGAGTTACGTAATCTCAACACAATTAGAAAGGTAACCATTCAAAAACGATTAGCTTGATTAACGGGTGAATTAATACGTGAACATGCAGCCGTAAACAGAAAATTCGCGACAGTTAGGTCTTTATGCATGCTTACAGTACCTTCAAACATGGTATATCGTAGCGGATCTCCACGCGCGTGCGAAGCGCGCGCGTGAGCGGAGCCCCATAGCTAAAGTAATCTACCCATCGCAGAAAATTTGGTAATCACGTGACCGACCGACGGTCCGTCCGCGCCACAGGCATACCAATGTTTACTCTCACACTTTCTAGCTACTTTGGGAGCCAAGGAGGAAGCTGATTGCATATCAATGTTGTCATCAATTGACAGCTGTCAAAACAGGGTATCCGCTGACCAGTATCACCTGACCGTATCGCGGACTCAGGTGTCGACCCATCAAGGTCGAGTATTTTTTGAAGTTATCCGCTGACAATTTATTCGTTTTCAAATGATTGCAGGCTCACGTTTGCTTTTTTTTAAAATTCATATCAAATATGTTGTGTTTATGTCAGTATCGCCCCGCACTATTACGATTTTGATTTCAAACTGACCTCACACGCAAAAATTCAGCCAGTTTTTTTTAAAATACAGCCGGGGAAGACCTTTTCTTACCATGGTCACGTGTTGGTCACGCTCCACGTCCAATTTTTATGCTCAGGGGCCGGTTGCTCGAAGCATGGTTAGCGCTAACTGCTGGTTAAGAGGTATGAAAAGGTATAGGTTTCCATGGTATTTAACGCTGGTTAGCACTAAGCATGCTTCGAGCAACCCGGGCCTGATTGGTTAAAATTTGACGGGTGAGTTCATGCGTAAAATTTATGCAGCATCTTGAAAGTTGTTTACTTAGACAGCTGAAGCTGACAGAGTGTTGAGTCAACTTGTGATGTTTTTAACTGTCTTTTTCCACTGGATGTACAAAATGAAATACAGCTGCTATCAAGAGTGTTCTCTTATTCATGGCTGGTTTGTTTATTGGGTTTATTGTATGATAAAAACAGCGCCTCATAGTACTCTTTCTCCTCAGATGTGGTGTATTAAAAAAAAAAAAAAGATTGGTTTTTCGCCTTCCTTTTTTTCTAAAAGTCAACTTCTACTTAAAGGGAATCCCTAGTTCAGAAAAGAGTGAAAATGCGCGTTGGTTTCACTCTGTAAAGGTAAACATTGATTCGAGTGCGTAAAAAGTCAGCTATAGTAAATCACGCTGTTTAAACACCATGAAGTCTTTTTCTACCTTCAAAATCGTCTACAGTAAGATATTCTTGTATTTTCAAAACGTTCTTACTGGAAAACTTTGGCAAACACCCAGTTCACGACAGCGGTTTTGTTTTGCTTTATATTCACCGCCTAGTGCGGTGAATATAACGTCATACTCCGAGATAGCGAACCAATCAGATTGCTCGAATCACCAAGATCACTGAGTGTTTATATACTAAAAGGCGTTATAATCTATAGAATATTTCCAAGAGTAATGAACACATGTATTTCAGATTGTTATGTAAGGTAATCCAAGACAGGCTGGATTCTGGATTTCATGCTGTGGATTCCGGAGTCCAAGCGCTAGCAATAACATTATTAAATGAACTGACCAAACCTCCACAAGCAAAAATGTCCAGGATCCAGATTCTGGATTAGCTTCACTTAGGTGAAAATAACAAAAAACTTAATTCTCAAACTGCCTCGAAAAAACGTTTTCGGCGTTTAACTTGTGAAAAAGTGTGGGAATTTTAAAGAACTTAAGCAATAGCGGCACATTACCTGTCATCAAACTGTAGCTCATGTGTAACCTCTTTTGAACAGCAAATAGAGGAAATCAGGAGGGACAATTATTTCAGATTTAGGCTACGCATCAGTGTCTCTTCTCAATTATCCGCGCGGCTTTGCAACTCCTCGGCCTCTGAATACACGTACTGATGAGCTCTCGAGCTGCGAAGGCTATATAATAGCTTATTTGATAGCGCAGAGCTCATTCGAGGATTTTTTTTAAAAGGAGGAGGATTTATGAAAACTTACCTGCGAGTCTACGAAAGCTGTGTTACCGGTACTGGAATCAAATGTTTCTTTTTCATCTGGCAAAACAAATCTACCGTCCCCTCCTTCAATTGATAATCCAACAAGTTTAGTTGGGGTATGACGTCCTAATGTCATGGACAATTCTATAGTCTTGATCCGCGTCACCTTTTCATCTGCAACTTTCATTGCTAACACGGCATCTGCAATAATGTTGATGATCCTGAAGGATTCCATTACAAGAGTTTTGCCCTAAAGAAGGAAGCGCCCGTTTGATACAATTACTACTTCATTTTTAGAATGTTTAAGCCCGATTCACCCACTCATGTGCCCAATGGCGAAAATAGCGAGAATCCGCCAAGTTTAGCAAATAAGTAATAACAAAGCCAAAGGTTCCCATTAAGAGTTGCCATTTTGGTGAAAATGGCATATTTGGCGAAAATGGCGAATTTGTAATTGGCGACGAATATAGCGAGCATTCGCCAAAGTCTTAATAAAATTTGCAATGAAATGGTAAAGAGGCCATTTGAAAGTCGTGAGTTTCACGAAAATGGTGATGTTAACCAAAATAGCCAAAAATCCCCAAACCCTTACCTGCAAGTCAAATGAGGAGACAAAGGGTCCCCCCTTAAAAGTGGCGAATATGGCGAAAATGGCGAGAAATCGCAGCGGCGATTTGAAGGAGATGGCAAATATGCCGAAAATGGCTAAAATTTGCCAAAGCCTTGTATAGAAGTCACGAAATTGACGAATTTGGCGAAAATGGCCAAAGGGTGAATCTCTAAAAAACAATTGGCTGAGGGTTGGCGAAAGTTTAAATGAGATTACAAGCGGCACTCCTCCTAAAGTCGCGAAGTTGACAAAAATGGAAAATCTCACGAAAAATTTGGGAATTTGACGTCAATTTTCCATGGCGTTGCAAAAGATTCAAATTCGATCACCATTCTCGCCAACTTCACCAAAATCGCCTTTGCGGCGGCAGTACAAGTACGCGATAACTTTGAACCAAATTTTTCTGGCATCGATAGGTTCCCATTTTCATTTAGGTATGGGGCTCCACTGCTCGCGCACTTCGCACGCGCGGACGCTACACTATTAACAAACCTTAGCCCAACCTCCATTCAGGGGACATTTCTTTTCAGGTTACACTTGTCTCGGTTTCAAGGGTGTCCCCTGAATAGAGGTTCCACTGTACTTCTTTTTAAGTTAACGTTAGGTTATGTTTACGACAGCTAACGATAATCGTCACAATCGAGCACCAAGAAATGGATTTAATTTGCTGTAATAAATCATTAAATCACAACAGATGAGTGACAAGAAACTAGTTTCCTTGAGCAAGATTGGGGTCTTACAGGAAGAACCTTTCCATTAAGGCATCACGAGTATAACAGCCACCGAACACTAGGCAAGCATAGAGCACTGTCATTACATTTGTTGGGGAATTGCACTGAGATTTTTCACGTGTTTGTGCCAACTAGAAGACTATGGAAATAAATACCTGTTCTTGAAGACTGGAACCAAATTTTCCTGATGCGATTATTGATGCACTCTTCAGTACGTTGTTGAGGCAGGAGCCTAAGTTTTCTGCTGAAAGGGTGATCAGCGGTATGTCGTCCATGTGCTTCTGCTGGGCAGCATTCCAGAGCAGTGAAGCCATGGACTCAATAGCAGGTAGGGCAAATTCCTGACAAGAGCGAACGTATAGAGAAAGAAATGTTACTGCGAGTTTTCTAACGGGCTGCTAACAAATTACCGCTTCCACGATGTTGCGAATTGTTGTGAATAGTTTACCTGGAATAGCACCCTGGAAGCAGAGCGTTTCTTTCGCTTGTTTGATTTTGTCGTACTCAAGAAAGACTGCATAAATCGGGTCATTCTCCACCCCAATTCCCTTCTTTCTTGCGCATGACAATCTCACAGAGTTAAAAGCGTGACTTCTGGGCGGGATGAAAAATAAAATTGAGTGAGATCTGCATGTTGCTAGGATACAGAACCCCAGGTCTAATAGCAGAACGTCTTGTACAGCGAGCTCAGTTACGATCATCGTTATATTAATAAAAAAATGTTCGCTGTCGAAAAACCAGTTTGAGGAGAAAAGATAAGATTGACCAGTTCAGTTCGGGCTTCGGTGACCTCAAAGGCTTAACGCGATTCAGCCAGAGCCTCTTTTTCTCCTTCTCGATCAAGGAGAAGACAAAAGGAGGCTCTGCTCCCAGTTTGCTGGAAAAGTTGAGAACAACGCAATGAAAATTCAGGTGGAAACCGAATAAGGAATCCAAAATACATAACGTAGCCATTGAGCACTTATTACTACTGAACATGAAGCTGATGGCAGAAAATGCGCGAAGGAGGAAGGAGTGGCGCCTGTCATTCAAACGGTTTACACTGTGAAAGATGTAACGAAATAAATAGAAAAAGTTTTAAAAACATCCTTACCTGTCCTGTTTTAGCAGGACGATTATGAGGACTTCATGGGAAAATTATACCTTACCAGAGATTTTACAGATGTTGTTTCAGTTTGCTGAATGGCTGAGCCAATCACAGAAGAAGACTGCAGCAGGTCTGGAAGACTCTTAACTTGCAATGCGGCAATTTTCTCGACAATCAGTTCCTGAATCTATGATAAGTAACAAAACTGATCACACTTTAACACGAATCGATCAACCCTTCCACGGTGTTTTTAAGTTTAGATAAAACCCAGTAAGCGAATGTCCATGGACACTGCTGGAAAGAGCGCCGTAATTGAAATCAATAAACTTATCAAGTTTAAAGGTGTTGGCAGGGTAACTGATCGATTTAACGGCGTTCTTCCCAGCTGTGTTGACGAATTTTCACTAATTAGCCCCAGTAAAAAGTTGCAAAAAGCGTGTTAGGGTCTAAACTACTTGGCAACCGCCGTGGATCCAACTGGATGAATAGCAAATTGCTTAAGATCGAGTCAGACTTAAGCGTAGTCCTTTTCTCGCGACAAAAGTAATATCGTTTCTGGTATAGGGGGTTTTAATCCAAAGAAGCTCCTAAGTGCCACATAAATTTCAACCAATGGGGACATAAATTAGAAATGGAAAGTTTCTGAACGTCGTTTCGGCTTTTTTTCAGTTTTGAGCGGATCGTTATAAACACTATTTTTTTAAAATACTACCTTCGTTTTTTCCTCTGTACTGAGGGAAGAATCCTGCGAAATCGCTTCTAGAATTGTATTTGCTATTTGTACTGCCTTGTTCAGATCACCATATTCGATCACTTGATTAAATAAGCTATCGTTAGATGTCAAGACACTGGTAAAGTTCGCTGGGCTCAAGTGCTGCGATGGTTCAACCTGCAAAAACAACGAACGAATCACGAGGCCTTAGACTGTTGAAAGGTTTCTAGTAGCTGATCATTAACGGTTCCCAGTTAGTTTTTTAACGGGTTCTTGATCGTTGTTAGGAAATAAACAGGATCAACTTGTTTGAAAGACAATTAGGTCAGACCTAGGGTTTGTTAACATGACAACTCAAATGCTTTGTTCAGGATTATAGTTATATATCAAGACTGGGAACGACTCGGCCTATGACTTAATTGTCTTAGGATTCATCAAGCTATGAACTCACCCGGACAGAAAGATTCACAGTCGGTGCTGAAGCTCCATAACTGTTAGTTACGGTAGCAAGAAACTCGACTTTGTAGTTATGTGATCGGTTTCCAGGGGGTAGCCATGAAATAACGGTGTTGTTTACTCCGTAGTATACCATGCTGTACAAACCGTTGTCCAGTCGATATTGATACTGGTAAGTCAGAGGGGTGGCGTCACTGACCCAGTCGCTGCAGCTCAGGTTGAAATCAGTCTTTAATGATATGCCGCTGGACGGAATGATCACACACCGTCCTCTTGAAGGTGGCGTAGCAGTAACAATGTCGTAAGCACACAATCCTCGAATACCGTCCTTAGTTGTGACAAATAACACCAATCGATAGTTCTTTCTCCCGTCCAACGAGTTTTCTTTTATGACAAGGTTACTTGAGTTTAGCGGCGTAGTTGTAATGCTTTGCAATATATTCACCTTTCGCCATATTGGATCAGTATTTGAGGCGGACTTGTTCTGTTCATAGAGCGTCCATTCGTAGGAGAATATTTTGGAGCACTGAGAACCTTGGCACTGTGACTTGATACTCAACCTAACTGACGGACTTGTTTGAACTCCACAATTAAGAAGACAGCTAAATATAAAAATAAATACACATCTTGTAGGGCATTACTTTGGTAATATTTGGCACAATAGTTTACGCTTTTGTGACTCAGTATTGCGTTGATGCAACAGTGGGTATGATAGACTATCTCGAGAGTGGATTGACTCCATAAAAATAGTGCGAATATTGACATTTGCCGGACTAAGGGTTGATTTCCAGTGTCGCGTAATTTTTACGTGCGTACGTGCGTAAAAGTTACGTTCGCATATGAAATAGAGGCAATGCATGAAAGGTCGCTCGTGAGCGTAAAAGTTGAACCTCGCTCAACTTCTCGTTTAAGCTCAGCACTTTTCATCTTGCCTCTTTCTTATTTACGTCATTAAAATTTACGTGCTTTATCGTGCGTAGCCAAAAACCCGTCAGTGGAAATCAACCTTAAGCTTTTTATTTCCATTACAGAGTTGACTGAGTTGTTATTACAAAGTGAGACTAGTTTCCTCCCCAGATTTCATTGTATTTTCCCTTAACTTAGTTAGATTGATACAATATCCACGGAGACCCTGAAACAGTAAACAGGGGCAGGATAATTGGCGCAAGTGAATCTTGGAACGTCGCGTTCTTTACCTCGCCACCCTCTAAATATACCCCTGAGTGTTAAAAAAAAGAGGCTGAACCACGCATTCATTGGCAATAAATATTATAGACTTCATCACATTTACTGGGTCAAGAAGGACATTTCTTCTGCCCGGCCGGCGGCTTGTTGATAATCAGTGACAGAATTACGGGAACAACAAAAAAGATAAGGTTTATGAATACCGTCTAAAAATGTACCTTTGAGAAACTCTAGGTGGTTCTCCATTTTGCAGTCTAATGACTTGAAAGACACTTGATGTTCGATAGTCTTTGGAGACAACCAACTTCATAATGTAAGTCTGATTCAGTAATAAGGGTTTCTTGGCGAAGGTGACGACTGGTCCGAAACCTTTCTCCGCGAAGTATTGAACGGTTATACCACTTAGGCCAGGCAACGGGAATGAATAATTGTTTCCTCTGATCTCGCCAAAATCCCAGGTAAAGTTCATTCCTGAATTATTTCCAGTTCCTATATCTGGATCGTAAGAAAGCGAGGCGTTCATCGTGATATTTTCTCCTCGGATAACTTCGGCACCACCTTCGATAATCGCGACCAGTTCAGGTTTTTTTCTGCAGGCCTCTGCAAGATAAATATGTGTTAAATTATTTTAAGGTTAGAGTTATGTTATGGGTAAATGCAACATA